TCACTCCCACTCCCACAACCACTAGCACCACCACCATCACCAGCACCATAATCACCACCAGTACTACCACCGACAGCCCCAACACCACTCGCACCCTCGCCATCATAACTGCCATCACCACATCACCATTACCGCCACCTCTGGCGCCACAACCAGCACCAGAATCACCACCAGCACCAGGACCATGACCACTGGCACCGCCGCCATCATCACTGCCAGTATCACCACCAATACCACCCTTGGCACCAATACCCGAACCACCAGCGCCATCACCAATACCACCATGAAACCCAAAATTATTACCACCACTGGTACCACTACTGGCAGCAAAACATAGCCACCACCACCACCACTAACATCAATTAATGGTTAAACTAATGCTGATAGGATTAAAAGTAAATGAATATCACGGCTAATAGCATTGTTATAATAATTATTGCTTATACTCCTAGCAGGAAGTTGATGCGGGACAAGGACGAATTATAAAGTGACTTGTCACAATCAGGAGATTAGTTTGCCTTAAGGCGAAGGTCTCATGCCGTTTTAAACAATGCACTTACAATAGTTTCTTTACTACTCCTGTAAAATTAGAGACTATTGCTATCACTACCAACAACACTGCTACGACGACTGATTTTCCTAGGACCAGCGCTGTTCCATTCAACACTTCTGCCTCTGCTATCGTTGGTGAACTATTAATTTTGCTATTAATAATACCATTACTAATAACATTTCTAGAGCTAGTTCTACGGCAAACTACCTCAACATTATTATTTAAGCTACAAAATCTGCTGTCATCGCTATATTCCTTTTTCAATCTTCAAGTGATCTGAATATTTTTGCCCAGATTTTTGAGTTTCAAGTAATATTTCAGGTACTGGGCTCATAATACTTTGTACTTCAATTTTAGAACATTTTACCCAACTTATGTGGGCGGCAACAAAGGAACTCGGAACGGGCGTTGTGCTAGACCGAAGTCCACACAAGTCTGTGATCGTATGTTTTTACAGCCCCGCTGGAAACGAGCCACATGGTTATTCCCAAAATATTGACAGCTTCCGAAAGTAGCGCTCGGCGGCTGCAAACCCTTAAATTAGCTATTTGTCTCTAGTATGTTCTTTGTGTCCTGTGCATAAGCATAACTGTTTTAAAATCTTTCAAGCCTTTTTGGTTGAAGTATTTACTAAAATTAACGGTTGTTTCAGGCGGACCAAAAAAAGCTTTGCACACTCTTAAAGCACATGCAATTCACTATGTCTCTACAGTTATGTAAACGGCATATTTATTATTCTTAAGTCCTCACTTTTTGGTAGACAAACAGTTGCGCATCTGTATTCAACAAGTAATGTCTGGAGTCTATTTATTGAAATGATCTTTCCTTTACAAAATATAGTTACGTAATTGACCCCATGACCCATCCATTTGAAAAGCTAAAATGGGGATTAGTTGGTTAAAGGGTCGAAAGGGGCGACATTGCTTACATCAAGAGCACAACGAACTCAAATTTAGTGATTTCCCGGTTCCCTCGTTCAAATCTGCAAATATTTACGCAAGTGGGGTTTCGAGGCGGATAAAGTCTACGAATAAGATTGATGATAGTATAATTTTATTTTCAAGGACGTACACCTATTGGCCGTAATATGCTCAGACGACTGAGGTTGCACCAGCAATCAAATCCGCAAGTGAAACCCGCGGCTAAGCAACACCGATATTTCTGCCTCATATTCAGGGTGTCCCAGAAAAATATATACACAATTTAAATAACTGTAAACTTGGCGTTTACTATAATTTTATTTTTTCAAAAGTGTACAAATGTTCACAAGTATAATTATATTGTTTTTTCACTGCATCACATTATGCAACGTTGTCAGTGGAAAAGTTATTTTTCAAGATTAGTTCATGCTCTAAACGACAATGATCTAGACCGACGAGCACAGTATTGCGAATTGTATTTAGATCAATGTATAGAAAATGCAGAAATGGACGTCAATTTGAGAACATGTAGTGAAAATAAAATAAAATGATACTTATGAATATTTTTACGTTTCTGAAATAATAAAATTATAGTTAACACCAAGTTTACTGTTATTTAAAGTGTGTTCACATTTTTTGGGATCCCCTGTATATTTCAGACGCACATTTGCCTTGTCTCCAATACTTGATACTCGCATTTTGAACGGTAACGGCACCTCGCCGAGGGAAGATAGAATATTTGCCGGAAACTGAGCCTGTGTGCCACGAAGTTGGAAAAGGCAAAATGTAAAAACTGTACAGACGAGAATACAAAAAAGATCAGGCATAAAAATAACAAAACGTATAATATATCACGTTTACCTCCGGGATTAAAATTCGCACCTGTACGGATAACTCTGTATGACGGAAACATTGTTTGCCCGGAACAAATTTGAACAAGGCAATGATCGCGAGATTAGCAGAATTTATTGACGTCATACAATTTCGCGACCTTTTATTCAACTGCAAAGGGCCATTGCCTAGCATGCTACTTAAAGCTATGAACGAGATGCAGGGAAAGATAAAATTTACGATCGAGCATGAGAAGGACAACACACTGGCTTTCTTTGACGTGCTCTAAATGCAGGTGGGCAGATAGTTCCATTCAAAGATCCATCTATCGGAAAACCACATGGAAAGGACAGTATGTACACTTTCTTAGTTTTGTTCCAATTCGGAGGAAAAGAAAGTTGGTTTTTAATGCCTTTTTATTAGA